TTGGGTGGGGGTGTGAGGGCAGGAGGCCTGGTGGTGGTGGCTCAATGTCGCTGGGAGATGGGTTTTGGAAGCGCAGGGCAGCTGGTGGTTGTTCCTGGTAATTTTCTGACTGTGTTCATCATTGATTTATTTTTGATTTCTTTTTTCCAAAGTCTGTTTTTTATTTCATTCTGGATAATGCTTTTGGTTGCTTCCCTCTCTTCATTTGTTGTTGAATTTGGTCATTTCTGGTTGATATAATATTTTGGCTATGTGAACTCTTGTGTGAAAATTTGGGCAGTGATGGGTTAAGGTGCCTGCAAGCTCAATTTGTCCTAGGTTTGTTTGGTATTCTGATATATGGTGGTGAATGTCGGTGTGTAATGTACGAGGGTGCTGGTGCGTGCAATCATCAATTTCAATATGTGCATAATCTTTATTTTAGTTTCATGTGGCTTTTTTGGGATTGTGGTTGGTTCTTATTCTCTTGCGTGTTGGTTCAGTTAAAATTTTTGTTTGGGGTTGCTTCCCGTTATGCATTTGTTGTTTTATTTGTTCATTTGTGTTGGATGCAATATCTTGGTTGTGTGCACTCTTGTGGGCAATGATGTGTTAAAGGTGAGAGCACTACGTAGCTCAATTTACCCAACGTTAGTTTCATGATCTGCTGTATGACCGCGAATGTTGGTGTGTAATGTGCGCTGGTGTGTGCACTTATCACTTCCAATGAGTGTCGTTATTATTTGTGTGATTTTGTCTTTTTTGAAATTGTTGTTGGTTCATTTTCTTTTGCATGTTGGTGCAGTTAAAAAATCAAAGTGCACTTATTCAAATGTTGGCCCTTTGAGAAATCTGATGATGACAGTGACTTTGTGTTCGCCGCCTCAGGCGTTCCTTTCCAAGCTTCAACAAGAGCCTCTGTGGAATGTCTCCAATTATGAATTCACCGTTAAGGAGGCTGTTATGTATCTTCAAACGCAGATGAGGCCACAGTCTGCGATATTAGTTAACGCCTTTAAGGACTTTTGCTTTCATCAGAAGTCTGATATTCGAGAGCTTGGGTTTGGGACTTTGTTGGAGTTCAAGGTCGATGATATTCCACCGCACCTTTTACGATGGTTGCTCTATAATTTTGATCCCGAGTCAAGGTCATTTGATATCGGTGGTGGGAAATCGTTGGTGGTTGATGAGGGGGGATGTGGAGTTGATATTAGGATTTCCGTGTTTATATGGTTAGATGAGATAGACTTAAGATTAGCAACACTTTGAAACACTAGATGGGTCTATTTAAGAAGGTGAGGCACTGGGTCACCCCCGGAAGAGATTAGTGTGAGGATGGTTGCTGAGGTGAATGGTGGCATTTGGTTTAAGCTTCATTTCCTTATGTCGATTATGGCCATATTAGTTTGTTGTATGTGTTATGGCTACTCTAACCAGATGTATTTTCACTACTTTAACGATGTATCATCTGTGCGCGACTTGAACTGGTGTAAGCTAGTGGTGAACACGTTGGTTGAGACAAAGGCTGCTTGGCGTTCTGGTCGACATAAGTTCTTTCTTGGATTGACTAAATTCATTACAGTATTCTGGCTATTCTTTACTCTGTCTTCTGTGTGATGTTTTACTTTTTCCCATTATTATATCTTAACAATTGAACTTGTTTCTATTTTCATTTTTTTCAGTTGTTTTATGTGGATCGGGTTGTGCACGTGGCTCGCACCGTTCCACAATATATTCATGCTCTTCGTGGGTGGTCATCACCCCTACTTCATCAACGTGTCAGAGGTGACAATGAGCAATCAGGTTGAACCGCATATGTACAAGGATGCAGGGCGTTATCACCTTCATCCCCTTCATCACAAACCTGCACAGGGGGTTCAATGACACCAAGACCAAACCCGCCACCCCGAATCTCTAAAAACTTGCGTTGATGAAGTATGGGTAATGACCACCCACGAAGAGCATGAATAACTAGGGAACCGCACGAGCAACGTGCACAACCCGATCCACATAAAACAACTAAAAAAATGAAATAAAAACAAGTTCAATTTTTAAGATATGAAGGGAAAAAATAAAAAAACACACAAAACACAAAAAATAAAGAATAGCCAAAATATATCGTAATAAACTCAGTCGATCCAAGAAAGAACTTATACCAACCAGAACGCCAAGCAGTTTGTGTCTCAACCAACGTGTCCAACACTAGCTTGCATCAGTTCAAATCGCGCACAGATGACACATTGTCAGAGTGATGAAAATACATTTGGTTAGAGTAGTCATAACACATACAACAAACTAATGTGGTCATGACCAACATAAGAAAATGACGCTTAAACCAAATGCCACCATCCACCTCAGCAACCATCCTCACACTAATCTCCGCCAAGGTGACCTTGTGCCTCCACTTCTTAAATAAACCCCTCCAGTGATTCAAAGTGTTGCTAATCTTAAGTCTATACCGTCTAACCATATCAACACGAACACGCAGAAACCCCAATATCAACTCCACATCCCCCTCATCAACCCTCATCAACCACCAACGATCTCCCACCACCGAGATCAAATAACCTTGATTGGGGATCAAAATTATAGAGCAACTATCGCAAAAGGCGCGATGGAATACCATCGACATTGAACTCCAACAAAGCCCCAAACCCAAGCTCTCAAATGTTAAACTTCTGTTGAAAGCTCAAGTCCTTTAAGGCGTTAACCAATATCGCAGACTGTGCCCTCATCTTCGTTCGAGGATACATATCAACCTCATCAACAGTGAGTTCATAATCGGGGGAATTCCACAAAGGCGCTTGTTGAATCCTGAAAAGGGACGCACAAGGCGATGACACAGTCACTGTAATAGTTATCACGGCGCCCTGTTAAGTCGCGGCGCCCCCGGACCGCCTTGTCTCCTATATATATATATATATATATATATATATATATATATATATATATATATATATATTACAAGTGGCACTGTCTCTGCCCACTATCCATAATATATATATATATATATATATATATATATATATATATATATATAAAAGTAGCAGGCAGTGAGCACTGTGCCCACTTCCCCCACTGCCAGCATAAAGTAATAACCCACTGCCAGTCTTAAAGTAATAATTTTATTGGGTTTATAAATCCAAACAAAGACAAAGAATGCTCTCAAGTCAGCGAGAAAGAAGACTGCCTACTGCGAAATGAAGAAGAAAGAAGAAAGACCAGTGGGACGACGACGGAGCGGGAGGGCGACGTTCTTCTTCTCTCTTCTCTATGCTTATTAGGGTTTTAGGTCTACCATTTTTTATTTAAAAAAAAAAAAAAGAGTTGGGTTTCCGCGGCTGGACGGCGGTAAATTATTGTTTCAGGAATAAATGTTACTTCTTGGTGGTCATTATAGAGGGCAAGTAAATTTTAGTGCTTCAGGTTAAGTCCAATTCATGAGAGTGTGCCTTCTTAACAAGTATTTAGTTGGGCAGAGGAAAAGGATACTTCTTGGAACTACCATATCTGCCATTCAAGATTTTTAGGAATCCTTAAGACTGTGAATTTTGTGATGATGGTCACATCAAACTAACTAATATTACAAATAATATTGTTTATCAAGAAATCTTGGACTACATTTCTCAAACAACTGTTGCACCAGACAAAAACTAACACCATGTCCGACGTTTATTGATGTAAGTTATGTTTAAACTCTATGCTAATTAGGGTTTCCTAGGCGACGCCGGAGCTCGCCTCGCCACTTTCAGGCGAGGCGAGCTCTCCAGGCGTCCTGTCTCCACCGACAGGACGCCAAGGCGTCGCCTAGATAACTATGGTCACTGTCATCATCAAATATTCCCAATTGACCAACATTTGAATGGGTGCGTTTTGATTTCTTAGCTGCACCAACAAACCAACATGCCAAAGAAAATGAACCAACAACAATTCTTAAAAAAAAAAAAAATAATAAAATAAAATAAAAAAAAAAAGGCAAAATCCACATAAATAATAACGATTATGCACTCATTGGAAGTGACAAGTGCACGCACCAGCGCACATTACACACCGACATCTGCGGTCATACAGCAGAGCACGAAACTAACGTAGGGAAAATTGAGCTACACAGTGCACCAGTGTTGCAAAAATCGCGCTTAGGCGCCGATTAATCGGCGCCTAGGCGCTAGGCGGTTGGCCACCTAGGCGCCCGCCTAGGCGCTCTAGGCGCCGATTAATCGCTCTAGGCGCCCTAGGCAGTCCCCAGGCGCCTAGAGGGCGTCTAGCGATTTTTGCAACCATGCAGTGCACACACCTTAACACATCACTGCCCACATTCCCACACAAGAGTGCATACATACAAGATATTGCATCCAACACAAATGAACAAATAAAACAACAAATGCATAATGGGAAGCAACCAAAAACATTACCCCTAAACAAAATCATAAACAGAATTTTTAACTACACCAACAAACCAACACGCAAGAGAATAAGAACCAATCACAATCCCAAAAAAAAACACGGAACAAAAATAAGGATTATGCACACATTGGAACTGACGAGTGCACGCACCAGCGTACATTACACACCGACATTCACTACCATACAGCAGAACACCAAACAAACCTAAGACAAATTAAGCTACACAGTTAAGATACCTTAACACATCACTGCCCAAATTTACACACAAGAGCGCACACAACCAAAATATTATATCAAACATAAATGACCAAATTCAACAACAAATAAAGAGAGGGAAACAACCAAAAGTATTACCCAGAATGAAATAAAAAGCGAACTTTGGAAAAAATCAAAAAAAAAAAAATTAAATCAATGATGAACACGGCCAGAAAATTGCCAGAAACTACCACCAGCAGCTCCGTGCCTCCAACCCCCCCCCCCCCCCCCCCCCCCGCAACACCAAGCCACCACCATACTCCCGCCCTCACACCCCCCCCCCCTCCCAACATCGACCAGTCACCACCACCAGCACCCGAAACCACTAGCAACAGCCTCGCGTCGCAAAGACCCCTCTCCCAGCAACGACCGGTCACCACCACCAGCCCCCTGCACCCACACTCATTTCCCAGAGACGACGGCCACCCAAAGATAAACAAAATTGTACTGAACTACTAAAAAAACCCTAAATCTACTAAATCCACACGCAAGTCCAAACCAGAAACCAATCCCCCCCCCCCCCCCCCAACTCGACAAGCGGTCACCGCAACACAAAGGATAATAACGATCTTAAAAAATTCAGAAACGACAAAAAGAGAGAAAAAATACGTCGACCTACACCCCGAGCGGGTGGTCCCTGTCGCTTGGCTCCACGGCGGTCCCCACCGACGACCATCGTCCAATGCTGATGAAAAAGGAGAATCGAACGGCGTAGGGGAGTTGTTCGGCCAATGTGTGATAAACAGAGAGAGAACATGAAAAGACGATAGTCTTTTCCGTGTAGTCTCCCTATGAATGGAACAGATGGAAGGTAACCAACTCTAACACTGTAATTATTAAACCACTCAGTCAGTCCATAATATCTACCGTCAACAAAAACAATACTATTTAAATATATATATTTATTACTAATAATTAGAGCCTCAAATATGTGTGTGTGTGTGTGTGTATATATATATATATATATATATATATATATATATATATAATAAATAAAATAAGGATCAAAAGTTTAGTCAACTAAATAAAATTAAAGTCCTCTTCCATTGGAAAATTGCTAGGAAATACAATTATGGCATTATAGCCATAGAGCAAAAACACACACAATTCCGAAAAATCAACTAACCCAACACAAGAAAGAAGGTTTTGGTTGTGTTTGGTTCAAACATTGGAATCAAATACTTGGTAATGATAATGAGTTTAATTAGAATGAATCGCTTTGTTTGGTAATAAATTGGAATTAGAATCAAAACAAATAAATAATTAATTAATTAATTTATATATATATATATATATATATATATATATACACACACACACACACACACATATATATGCGTATATAAATTAAATTTCCATATTTAATGCATGGATAATGATCTTTTTATTTTTTTTCTCCCTTATTTTTGATTTCATTGTTCAAAAGTAGAGCAGTAAAAGGGTAATGGGGTTTTGTAATTACTAAAGAAGTTGATTCTAATAGTATGATACCAAAAGTAGATAAACAAACATAGTAATGTGTATCAAAACCCATAGTAGGGTACTAGGGTGCAACCGTCCCCAACCAAACACACCCTTTATGGACGTGGTGCTGCTGGTGGGTGTGGGGGGAGGGGGGTGGGGGGAGTAGAGATCTGAGATCAGTCATATAAACAAATGAAGTGAACTCACAATGCTCTTCTAAATTTCTCAAGCCATAAAATATTTCATAGGTATAGTAACAGGAAAAAAAAACACCAATAGAGTAATTTCTACATGTTGTACCTGACTTGTAAGAACTTGTACATTGAGGAAGCCAGGTAGAAGAGAACACTCTTGACACAAACAAGATATTTCTACACATTGCCATTCTGCATTTCACTCTAGTGAATCTTGAACCCAAATACCCTCGGAACATAGCTCTGAGATGGCTTTTGTGTTAAAAATAAAATTAAAAAAACAAAAAAAAAAACAAAAAAAAAAAAAAAAAAAAAAAAACATAATGTACAGATGCTCATTAACCAATTATCTCAAACTGCAAAGAAACAATTTATGTTATATACAAGACTCACCATGAGAGGACTCAACATCCAGAATGAGGTCAAGTGCATATTCGTAGTATGGAACTTGACTGCTTAGTCCAAAAAGGTTGAAACCATCCTGAATATATTCATCATCAACTTCACAAAAATTCATTTCCTCGCAAGTTGCAGAACCATGAAATCCATGATGTATCATGTCCATCAAAACCACTAACATCAGACTCTTCACTGTCTGTTCCAGATTCTTCAGCAAATATAATGTCAAAATTCCAGCATATCGGCTGTTCAAGTTAAACAAAAGGATTGCATATGAACCACATGGTATTCATCATTTACCAACAAATGAAGGACCAAAAATAAGATCAGAAAGACAAGCAATTCTAAACAAAACCTATTAGTGTTGGATAGGGAAAAAAACAACAGAATAGTGAATGAGCAATTGAAATTTTTTAGGGGTGGAAGTTGTACATATCAACTGATCTGCCACTTTTCTACCTTCCTGTAAAGAAAGCTAGAACATAAGACTGCATTGTTGACCATAAGATAACACCAAATAGTTTAAACGGCTAATCTCACATTACCTTCCTGGAGGTAATCCTATGACTTGGGGTAATCCAAGATTATGTGAAAAGCGATCTACTAGAACGAACACTGCAAGAACTCATAAGACTAGCATCACCCCAGGAATCCAATGTGAAGATGAGAATAACCTGATAATTCATTTAGCAGTGTTTACCTATGATATGACAGGGAAAGTACAATAGTGTTTTATAATTTATACTGAGATACATAAACCTCAATATATCTCAGACATAAACGCTTTGCAGAAAGAGAACATACTACATACTGATACAGGATAATTGAACAGTATGAGCAGAAATGCAGTTCAAACAGAAATAAATGTTAAAAATCAAATCATTTCCAAAACACTGGATTGCAAAATGGGATATTTGCAGGGAGAATCTGACCGTCGGAGCACTTGTTCTTGGAAGCAATAGTTTCCTGATTGGATTTGGCAACAGCAGCGGAGGTGGAGAGCACCGCCCCCTTGTCCTTGAAGGTCCTTGAGGTTGAGAGGGAGGACTTCTCCAAGTGCTTATCTAAGGGCATCGTTTATTGGCTTCCTACCCACCCGCCCACCCACGATCTCCGACCTGGACGAAACTCCTCCGCCCCTCGATCCCTATGCATTTCGCTCCCCTCTCTGAAACAATATAGGAGGATTCATAGGAGAAGTGAAAACCCCATACGATGGGAGAAAACGGAGTTGCAGAGAATATACAGTCTATTGTGACAAAGACGTATATGACGACTAGGGCTCGTCACCGGAATCAGACCATTGCTCCTGCACAATTTGAATAAGAACCAAATTAGGTTTCTTTTCCTTTCAAAAAAAAAAAATAATAATAAGTTCTTTTGTTTTCAAAAAAATAAATAAATAAGTTCCTTTTAGGAATAATGTTCAAATTGGTCACAGAGCATAATTTGAAAATGCAATTAGGCTACTGAACGAAAAAAAATATATATATAATTAGGCCACTGAACACTCCAAATATATGCAATTTCACCTAATAGCAGGTTACCATCAATTTTAACATGTTACCTGCTTACGTGAAAATTGAGTTACATTTTTAATAATTTTAAAATAAATTTTAATAATAATTTTTAAAAAAACAAATTTAAAAAAAAAAAAAGAAAAAAAAAAAGACAACGGGGTGGCCGCCGACCACCCCTGGAGACGAAGAAGGGGGAAGGTGGCCACCCCGCCGTTTTATTTATTTATTTATTTATTTTAATTTTTTTATTTTTTAAACATTTATTAAAAATTATTAAAAATGCCAACTAAGTTGCCTGCCACGTAAGTAGGTAACCTATTATCTGGTGAAATTGCATACATTTGGAGTGTTCAGTGGCTTAATTGCACGTTTTTAGAGTGTTCAGTGGCTTAATTGCACGTTTTTGGAGTGTTCAGTGACCTAATTGCACGTTTTTAGAATGTTCAGTGACTTAATTGCACCTTATTTCGTTCATTGGTCTAATTGCATTTTCAGGTTACGTTCAGTGGCCAATTTGAACCTTATTCCTTCTTTTTATTATTGTTCCTTTAAAGTTTAAATTTCATTTCTACTTTATATTCTACTTCCAGCCAATTTTGGTTTTTAGTAGGGGTATCAATGCAGGCCAGCACCGCAAATTATACCGTGCACTAGGGCGTACAATGCATTGTGCGCTCTAGCTCAAAACGGCATCGTTTTGTACCTTTCGCGTGTTTGTTGTTAACTTCTTAAAAAAAAATTCTCATATTTAGAATGTACATAATTGTATAATAGAATGCAGAGAATTGTATAATAGAATGTACAGAATTTTCTAACAAAATACATATATTTTTTTTGAAAATATAATACACATAATCTAACATAATACATAATACACATAAACTCTAAACATAATACACATAAACTCTTCACATAATACACATAAACTCTTAACTCTTTAAAAAAAAATTTCTCATGTTTCGAATGTACAGAATTATATAATAGAATGTACAGAATTTTATAACAGAATGTACAGAATTTTATAAACGCGTCAATTCCTCACGCAACTTAATAAAACGACATTGTTTTTGGAGGCGTGGGGTGCACATTGCTATGTGCGCCGTGGTGCACGATATAGCAAGTAGCGATGGTGCGACAATTCATTTAGTTCTCATCTAGTATCAGGTAGTTAGGGTTCTCCTTAATTCCGTTCGTGTTAGCAAGTACGGCGATGGTGCGACAATTTTGGGATCGTAACGGTTGTAGCAACATCTATCTAAGAATTTTGGTTTTGTTGCAACGTGTGGCCCCATGTGAATCAACACAAACACCACGTAAAAGGAAGACACACGGGTTCAATTTACATGGACAACCAGAGGAGGAAATTCATGAACTCATGACTACCACAGTTGATTTGAAGTCCAAAATGCTTCAAACTGTCGTTGACTTCCTCTTCGCCGCTATTGATGAGGAGATCTGCCATTGACTTCCTCTTTGTACATGTAGCGCCCGGGCAATAGATCAAGAGTTCAATACCCTTCTACAGAATTAGACACGGTACCTAGTTCATTCTTAATCAGATATGAATGTTATTGAGTGTAAGCGGGTCTTTCGTAATACACTGAAGGTTGATGGTTCAATTAAAGACACAAGACAAGGTTATTAGTAGCAAAAGGGTTCAATTAAGTTCCTGGATAGAATTTCTTTGATGCATTTAGTCTAGTGGTAAAGTCCACTACTGTCAAGTTACTTTTATCTTTGGCTTTATCCTCTTGTTGGGTTATTAGACAACTTCATGTTCATAATGCTTTCTTAAAACAAGCTCCTAGAACTTGGTTTAATACCCTACACACGTTTTTACTGTTAGTTGGGTTTAAGGCACCAACGACAAATGTGCCATTATTTCACTATTCGCAGGATTCTGCTTCTGTGTATCTGTTGGTTTATGTGGTTGATATACTTGTAATGAGAAGTGATCAGAATTTAGTGAATAATTTACTGTCTAAATTGTCTACTACTTTTAAGATTAAGGATCTTGGTGAACCTGGTTTTTTCTTTTGGATTGAAACTGTTAAATGTGATGATGGAATATTACTTTCTTAGCAGAGGTACATGATAGATATTTTAACGTAAGGAAGAAAATATTTACGTTTAACACGTTATCAGTACGAGGCTCTCAATCAATCCTCAGTGAACAGTACAGATTCCTTGAATCCTAATTATTTTCTTGTACAATGCTGTCAAATGTGAATGTATAAATGTTAATTATGAAAATCTGTGCTGCTCTATTTTTGTTGCCCTGCAATTTATAAGATTTTGATTAGGGGTTGCATTTGCGTATTCAATGCATGAAATTAAAATTACCCTTGATTTTGTTTGCCCTCCGCACTCTCGTTTTTGTAGCAGTCAATTAATTTGGTTTCATTTTTAATTCTTTATCTGGTTGCCGTGTGTATGTATATATCTGTTTACGTGAAAATTTCTTTCTATGCTTCCGATCTGAGCTCTCCGGATTTTCCAGAAACCGTTGCGTATCTGTCGGTTTTTCCGGCGAAGAGAGAGGCTGACACAGAAAGGGGCGGCGGTGACGTTCCACCAGTTGCGGCGATGTCCTCAGCGTGGTTGGGCAAGCGCGTTTCCGGCGGTGGCTTGTCCATTGCGTGAGGATTGTTTTTCTGGCTTTTTGTTATTCTTTATTCTTTATGGTTTAATTTGGGCATAAAAACTAAAAAGATTTAATTATTTATGGTTGATTGTGGTTGCTTGTGTTTATATAATCTGCTTCTCGTTTTTCTTGCCTGTGTGCACGTATATACATGCATATTAGAAGCAGATTATTTTAGTTTATATCATATGCATGATTTAAGTTTTTGGATGTGTTCTTGTCCATGATATATTTATATACATTAGCGTACTGTATGTATGAGAGATAATGATGTGCATGTTTATTGGTATTGTGGGGTAATATGCATATATACGTTACAATTTGTATATCATCATAAATCGACATTATATTTTTATTGGAATAAGGGCCAAATAAGCCATCGAACTACACGTTAAAACGCAATTAGGCCATCCAACTCAAAAAAGCTACAATCAGGTCCCTGAACAGCGCAAATTCAAACAAATGAACCCAAAGTAACTTGTTGATCAGGTAATTAGGTGAGGTGGAGGTTACCAATTTAATTTTTTTTTTTTTAAAAAATTATTTTAATAATCTTAAATAAAAAACTAATAAAAAAACCCACTGGCACCCACAGAGCCTCTCTTCGTCTCCGTCTAGTTCAGGTGATTCAAGAATCAAGATGACCACTGAAGTGCTAACATTGACTGCATTTTGATCTCGGCGGAATAAAAAGATTCTTCCATTTTATCTCCTGAATGTTTTCATGCCTTCATACAAGCCCTTTTTTAAATTTGAATTGGATACACATTCATATAGATAGAGAAAAGAAAACAGAAGAAGAAAATTGAAACCAGTCGGGATTGAGATTGAAATGGAAATTTTGGCAGATCAACTTGTCCATAATTCAACATGCTGACGCGAATTATCACGACGATCGGGGCTGAGTTCTTCCAAAGCGATGGATTTTTCTGGTTTAAAATTGCCATCTCCGATGGACTTTGTAACTTACATATAATCAGTTTGAGTGAAACCAAATCTCATATTGTTCCAGTCAATATTACCATATTCTTCAGTCCAGTCAATATTACCATATTCTTCAGAACTCTCGACACTACTACAACAAATTAAAACATATCAAAAACTCGCGATCAAATCGAAAAAAACACGCCGACAATCGGTCTTGATTCTAGAATCACCTGTAAGTAAATAGATCGCAGAGTTGTTTTAAAGAAGATCTCTCTTCGTCTCCAATCGGAGACGAAGAAATGGTCCTCGTTTCTGTCCTGGAGACGAATAGCCAGTCTTCGACTCTTCGTCTCCGGTCTCGAAGGAGGTGGAAGGGGATAGCCGGCAGTTTGTTTTTTTTTTTCTTTTTTTTTTATAGTTTTTATTTAAGAATTATTAAAATAATTTGTTTAAAAAAAATTGGTAACCGCCACGTCATCTAATTACCAGATCAATAGGTTACTTTGGATTCAATTGTTCGAATTTGTGTTGTTCAGGGGCTTGATTGTAGTTTTTTTGAGTTAGATGGCCTAATTGCAATTTGATGTGTAGTTCGATGGCCTATTTGACCCTTATTCCTATTTTATTTACTTGCCAATGCGAGAAAAAACAAAAACGACATTTTGTTTAAACTTAGATTTGAGAATGGTGCATTTCACAACATTATGTATTCCTTTCAATAGTATTAATTGCGGGAATATTGCATCATTGTGAATAGGTGCTTTTATAGATAACATTTAGAGTGAATTCCATTTTTGGTCCTACTGTTATAGACGTGTTTCCAATTTCAGTCCACTTTAATTTTTTTTTTTGTCACTTTACAACCATCATTATTGAGTATGTTCCACTTTTAGTCCACCGTTAATATTTTCGTCAAGAGGCCGTATAATCAAAGGGTATTTTGGTCTTTTTATGTTTGTCTCTTCTCTTTTAATCCAGGCGCTTCGTCCTCCTCCTCCGATATTCGAAGATGGCTCTTCGAACAACGAGAATGGGAAGCCAAAGCTACATCGTTTCGTTCATTCCAACATGGGCCGACGAGGTTTCTTAGGTTTTAGGTTTAATGTTCTCATTTCTTTAGTCAAACATAGTCTTGGATGAGAAGAAATGTCAAAATACCCCTAGATTACACAGCCTCTTGATGGAAATACTAACGGTGGGACTAAAAGTGGAAC